AGCGGAACAAAGACCATATGTACACGTCAGTCAGTCGCGCAACACTATCTTTAGATTCCTACTATAGATGGTGATTAATTATTCGTGCGCGTCCGCGTTCGTCGCCGTCGTAGTCGTCGTCTTCGTCGTCATTCGCGTCGCGAAGAGACGAACCGGCAACCTAGTGGTGACCGTCTTTGTCATAAATTATTCATCCGCGTGCCGTTTTTGTGCTAGCTGTCCGTACGCGATATCCCGGGAGAGTGCGCGGGTGCATCGATAAAGTTGGAACTGGTTCGCGGAGCAAACCGCTTCTCGCCTCTCTCTCTCTCTCTCTCCCCCTCTTATTGCGTCGCGTTGCGTAGCTTAGTCGCGCGCATCCGTGGTGCTAACCTTTGACGACCCGACGACGACGACGACGAAAAGCGGTGACTCTCGACCGCGAGCAGGCGCTCGTCTCGATTTAACTGCGCGACGTCAACACCCGGCCGAATCAGCGCGGCTAACCGATCGGCGTCGCGAACATTTTCCCGTCGACGCGCGTCGACAAACTACGGAGAAACTCGCGCCAGGGGCGAGGGAGAACGAAAAAGCAAATTGGAGCAACGAGTCACGCATCGCGGGGTAACATCGCGGGCTCTCTTGTTTTGCGCGGCGACTCCTAATGTACAGTCGTCGACAATAAGGTGAGCGACGCGTTTTTGTTTCAACGAGTTTCTCAACTCATCCGCGTAACAATAATGAACACACAGGACAATTAATAACAAAAGGACTACTTGTTTCCCGCTAATTTTCAGAAAATAAAATCTCCTGTCCGATATGCCGGATACGTTCTGGAGTTCGCGATCGTGACTCTTTTCGCGCAAGAAATAAACATTTTCAAATGCTCTAATAATTTGTCTGTGGGAAGTTTTCCTCCTATTTTTCAATAAAAAAAAAGATTAGGATTTTGATTGGTCCTGCGCACAGTTTTAGAATTCTCAATCGATTTTAGAAATAATTCTTGTTTAATTTTGAAAGTAGGGGTTGACTTCACATAGGCGACAACTTCCACTTCAAGAATGAAGTTCTACTATGACTTCTACTTTGATTTTTTTTTCCCGGCTCTTTGACTCGTATCCGTGGAAAGACTGTACATCTTTGATCACCGATCCTCAAATAAATTTAGTATTAATTATTGAAGAGCAATAGATTTAGTATTAATTATTAAAGAGCAAACCTAGATTCTCAATTATCCATTCTACATCATCCGTAAACTTCCACTGACTGTACACGTCGAGTGTCTACTGATGATGACGATAATAACAACATTCTAACGATATCCGAGTGTAAGATCGAGAAATCGCGTATTATCGCGCCGAGTGGCACAAGTGTAACGTCAAATCACACCGGCGGCGTGATTAGGAGCGGGCGATTTATCGCGACGATACAAAGCATCGGCGAGCATTGATTCGCACTAAGTCGCCGCACGACATCGAGTCGCGCCGATAACCACGCCTGGACGACCGACAGCAGTAGTTTCTAGTTTGCAAACACGCACTTTCATCGCAAGTATGCTGGCTTTAGTACGGCATAGGCAAAAAATGGCCGCAACGTAACGTATTTTATGTCTGCCGACGTAAAAGGCAGGGGAGCGCGACGCATATCGACGCGCGTTTCTGTCGAACGGCGCGATTCGGCGCCGGCCAGGGAAATGCCTCGTAAAGCTACGCGGCGATGTGAAAATTCGGATGCCAACGATTCGCCTTCAAACGCCATTTCAGACTGTCTCTCTCTCTCTCTCTTTCTCTCTCTATTCTCCGTTTTACTCTACTACCGTTTCACCGCGAGGATTCGAACGCGCGACGTAAAATTACGCACACACACACGCGCGCGCGCGCGTTGTGAATTTTGAAAACAGCGCGCGCGACAAATATATGTGAGATTTAAAATTCAGTGCGTGCGCGCGTGCGAAACGAACTCGTAATTATTGCTCGAGAAATGCTCTCGCGCGACTAATCCCATCGAGTCACGTTCGATCGTGTCTACGTGTCGCGATAACGTGTATATCTCAGGCGGTCTCGCGCTCAATCGAACGCTTTCATTAGGCGTCAACGCGCGCCGAGACACTCGAGAGCGCGCGAAAATAGCCTCTCCTGCGCCGCGAGTCGCGATTTTTTAGCACGCACTCTCTCGGCGCGGCGCCACGGCGATTATGGCAGATTAATCGCACTGTGTGCGGGATCAATCGTCCCATAATGGCCATTTAAAACGAGTTTCTGACCGAGACGATCGTCGTTCTGTCTCGGCGCCGCGTAATAACTAACAACGCGGCAACAATTATATATCGAGACTCGCGATAAAAGGTGAGCGACCGTGCGAGGGAAAAGGAGGGGAGAGGAAAGAATGACGCGGAAATGAGCCGACGGACAGCACGATCAACGCGAAAGCGAAAGAGAGAGAGAGAGAGAGAGAGAGGGAGAGAGAGAGAGAGAGAGAGAGAGAGAGGGAGAATATTACTCCAGGAATTACAGAACGGCGCAAACTTGGTTTAATTTATCATTTACACATTGTCCAACGTGCTTTAGCATAATCATCGCGTGCTGTTCACCCTTATTTCGCAGTACACGCGCATAATTATATGGAAATCAATAATATAGCGTCTACACGTTCAACAAGAAGTTGCTGCACACCTTTCCGAATAAATTGGAAATATCTGACTGCGCAACAATGCATATCCCGGTTTCGCTTCCGATTCGAAATTACAAGGAGATAACATAGCCACACAACGCAACACACACACACATTGTATTTAAGATGTTTTACAATCGCTATCTGTCTCTCTTTCTCTCTCTTTCTCTATTGTCTCCTAAGGGAGAAAGGGAAAAAATGGGTAAGAATAGATACGTCGCGTCACGCTCGAATAACGATAAACATCGGCGTCGCCGAACGAAAATAGAGCGCCGAAAAACCCACGCGTATCGGCGCATATCGTTGTCTATTTTTAGACGCGGCCACACGGAAACCAGCAAAATAAATAAGCCGCCCGAAACTTTCCCTTAATATTCGTAGGATCTTGTTTTTCTTATTCTCCCCCTCCCCCGCTGATATCGGTTGCTCGCGATGTGTAAAGCAACGTGTAACGCTTACAGACGCGCGTGCGAATACTACCGTGCGAATATATATTCTCGGCGCGCCGATCGTTTGAGCGAAAACATAAACTCGATTCTGAACGCGAGAGAAAGACAAAGAGAGGGAGCGCGCGCGCCGTTTCTATCGCTTCTTTACACTATGCTGACGGAAAAAAAAAAAGAAAAAAAAATAGCTCGTACCGCGAACAACTTCAATTCGCGGCCGCTGCCGACTCAATTCGAGTAATAAGCTGGAACGAATTTCCGTGGAAGAAAAGCATCTTCGCGCTTTGTCTTCGCTGGTCGTGAGTTGCGTCTCTCAACATCGATCTCGCGAGATAACGTGCAGCCGCGAAAGCGGCATGAGGCGGAATTGCGAGCGAATTTACCGAGATGTTCGACATGCAACACCCCTTCTGAGTAAGCAACGCGACATTAATCAGACGATGAAAGAACCGAGACGCAAAAAGGGCATAAATCACACGAGGGGATATTGCGAGTCAGAGTTCAAGATAAAATTGATATCTCACGAGCCATCCGCATCGGGGTCAGATGTGCCTCCATCAAAGTAATTGAGGGCTAACGGAATTGATTTCGGACGGAATGATACCGAGACCCGTATGGAAGAGTGTCGGTGGACGCACGAATCGAAAGCGCTCTCTTCGGAAGTCTTTAATAACGGTCGTTCCGAACGGCTTGACGTCGCTCAACTTTAGTCTCGACGATTCATTATTATTTTCACATATTTCACGGTCGGGTATATTTAATAAATAGGATCCTAAAAATAAGATGAAAGCGTCAATGTCCGAATACGTGTCTATATATAATTCCGGACTTTTGGCCATTAAATGCAATGTGTGTGTGTGTGTTCTGCATTGAAGATTTAAATATTCATATCTGAAGACAGTAAGATTAAAATAAGAATGTCTCGAATTATAGGTAGGTGTTCAGGCATTGGATGATTGGATACTTTTATCTCATAGATCGCCATTGCAACACAGAAATGTGCAACAAAAATATATTCGCTAATGTATATCCGCATTGAGAGAGAAATGTTTAGTATTCGTAGCTATAATCACATAGAACTATAATTATTACAATTATAGTTAATTATTACAATTATAGTTAATTATTACAAATTATAATTATTACAAATTATAGGAAACCAAGTTTTTATTAAATTTGGCCATAATGTTTTAGTGTTAATAACCTCAAATTACTATTACCTTTTATTACAAAAATATGATTGAGGTCAAAGATAACTATAACTTTGGTTAAATCAAGCATTTTTCTCTCTTGGTACATATAAAAATCATGATAAAATCGTGCATATACGCACACCTTTCCTCATCTAATATAGTTTCCTCGAGAGATACAGAAACAAGCACTCTTCTGGCGACTTTAACCGAAATCCCCCCGGCGGGAAGTGCGCCCTCTCCCTCGCCACGCGAACTCGATTTGCGCGGATTCGGCGGAATGCGATCGACGAAACAACGTAACGGGCCAGAGGGGTGTGCACGAATCAATTTATGCGAATGGGATATCCGCACCGTCGCCGCTGCCGCCGCCGCCACCGTGGAAAGCGGTCGAAACCGATCGAGAATCCGTGGGAACGAGACGACGGTGTCCCGTTTACAAAACGTCGATCGACTCCACTACTATTCTCGGGGTTGCTGCGCGTCGCGTGGACACCCTGTATATTATTTACACAACGACAAGGCGCCTTTGCTCGCTCGCTCGCATACACGCGCGCGCGTGCGGGGACGCGCGACATTGGACCGTAAAAGCGGAGCGTGCAAAGGGGACATGAAACGCGAAGGGTTGCGCGTCAGGGGGAGAGGGCACACAAAGCACGGAGGTGAATCGAGGAGCGAAGGAGAAACAAAAAAAGAAGAGCAGAGGATCACATACCTTGCACTGTGATTCCGAACGCCGCTAACAAGAGCAACCGATCGATCAATCCACCGCCGCTGCACATCTTCGTTAATATAGCCGAGGGTAGACCCCGCTGTTCTTTCTATTCTCCGTGGTGTCTGATAGCGCGCGCACAGACGACGATGATGACAAGGACGACGAAGGGAAAAAAAAGGGAGAACCCGAGACGCGCGCTGATCAGCACTCGCGCATCATCGAGTCGTCTCGAAGAACGCGCTTCGCCGACAACGTTCTTCTCTTCTCTTCCTTATTGGCGCGTTTTCGCGGCACACACAGGACTCGCAAGCGGCACTGTACGGCGTATCGATATACGACGCCGCGGTCTTCGTTCGATCACTGACGGGCCCCGCGCGTGACTTCTTCTCCCGTCGCTCGTGGAGGACCGCCGGGACGACCGATTCGCGAAGCGTCTGCCATTGTACACGGGACGCGGAAGCGTGGCACGACGCGAACGTCGGAGCGACGGTCCGGGTGATGTGCTCTCACGAGCTTGCACCGTCTCGCGAGTCGCACTTGGTTATATTGACAAAGAGAGAGACCTGCTCAATCTCACTTTCTCACGGCTGGTTGATCGATGCCGCCTGGACAACGCGTTGACAACGTCGTCGTCGGGATGGTAGGAGACCAGGGGAGCTCGGCTCCTCGTGCCGGAAAGCTCGCTGTCGACGCGGTGTCAACAGTCACGTTCGCACCGCGGCCGCGAGTGGAAACCTCGTTCCATCTCCGACTCGCGCGTTCAAGATCAGCCGCCGGTCGATCGATGTTTTTGTTGTCGTAGCCGCGCGATCCAGGGAGAATCGTGCTCGTTAACCTCGCCGGTGGGACCTCGGAACGTGAGGATGCCGCGAATCTCGCGGAACTACGTCATCGTAGTCGCGGATGATGCCCATCGCCTAAATGTATCACTCTCGTTAGTGCACGTTCAAACGTGTCAGCGCCGCCGCCGGTCGTATCTCGCGCGAACGAAAATAGACGACGCGACGGATTACCGCGGAGAGCGACGACTCCCGCCTGCGCGAAGGCCGATTCGTGACTGGCCGCTCGTGGAGTCTCCCGTAGCGCCACGCGAGCCTTCGGCCGCGCTCGGCCGCGCTCGGCGGCGCTCGGCGGCGCTCGGCCGCTTCCGCGCATGCTCCTCCGGGGGATGGCAAGGGCGCCGCAAATCTGTGCCTAGACGCGCTGGGGGCCCCGTGCAAACTTGAAAAATTGATTTCTCCTTAATCGCCCGCACGGCCGGCTGTTTCCACGGAAATGTCAACGTTCTCGCCGCGAGAGCGGTATCGTTATCAGCCCGCTTTTCGCGTCGATTCGACCGAAATTCACTCTCCCGCGAATCCACTCGCGCTTGCTTTCTGAATCATACGCAACAATGTAATTGCAATTTTGACAAAGGCGTGTAACGTCCCGATACATTCGCGCGAATTGCAGAAACTATTTGAACCGAAGTAACGCGAGACATTTGTGAAGATTCATCGCAAGTACTGAACGGGGAGTGACCTCACGTTTCGCTGATCGAGTGGGAGCCATCTCGTAAAGCGTGTCTTTAGCCTCTAACTCAGAGGGAAATCAAGCGGCATTATCTGATTCCATCGGGGAAATCGATTCTTCCGGTCGCTGGACGGGCATAATTAATTGTGTCCGACACCGAGTAAAGAGCCAGGGCCGCGTTGAAGTCTCCGACGATGCCGATCGATGGAACGGATTGATCACGACGTTTATCTCGTGGCGCTCTGGGTGCATGTGTGTATAGAGCCGGCTCTGTCCGGCCGCCATTGCAACATCGCGTTTAATGTAAGCGACTCACCGGCGTACCGTCGGGCGATGCCCATCGACCACGCGGTCAGAGTACAAACTACGTCTTTTTGTAGATATGTATGAACACGAGGAGAGAGAGAGAGAGAGAAAAGGAGAGGGAGAACGCCGATCGCTAATAGAAAACTTCTTAGCGCGTGATGGTATACACGAAAACGCAAGCTGTAATACTTAAGCGACGAGCTTATCAAACGATCACCATTCAGACGACAGTATAAACACGATTGTGTGTATTACGTGTATTATAATAAATAACTACACTGACAAGGAAGGTATTCATTCCCTCTCCTGTGTTAATGAAACTTGTTGGCTATTTCGCACTAAGGAGGTTAAAATGTACGATACGTATTTCCCTTTTATCAGCAACCAAACATTTAAGGAGTAAAATTAGCCCTGAAAAATCGAAAAAATTTTTGTTCTTCGGTTATAACTACATATACTAATGTACCAGTAGATAGCTTTCGAAATTCTGTACATTTTATTTTATGTAATTTTACAAAATTACGCTAACACATGGAGAAAAATAATTTGCTGGTCCAGCAAATTTTTTGCTGTTCTAGTAAAATCTTTTCGTTATTATATGGACAACAAAAAGACTTGCTAAGAGTACTAATCACTATTTGCTGGATATAATTTGCTGAATCTACAAATTATTTTGCTATAAGAATCATGATAGACTTATATAAGCAGTTGCAGTTTTGCTCCGATAGCAAATAAATTTGCTAAGGATACATTATTTTGCATCAATAGCAAATTAACGTGATTCTTAGGACAAATATACTCAACAAATTTTTTCTATCCTGGCAACGAAACTACTTCTGCTCTGATTATTAAGATCTCTGATAAAATTAGTTACGTCAACTAAATTTTTTTCATGTCACTACGAATATGCAATAGCAATGATGATTTTGCTAAAAGAGTAAAATTATTTTTCTCCGTGCATGCTTCGTTCAAAGGTTACAGCCAAAAGACAAAAATTTTGCCTTGATTTTCGAGGGCTGACCTCTCACCTCTTAAACATATTTGGTTGCCGATAAAAAAGAAACACGTATCGAGTATTTTTTTAAACCCCTTTACAAACTCACCAAGTTACATTAAAATCAAAGAAGGAATATCTTTCCTGTGAGTTTCGGTTATCGCCAAAGTTGTACTGTTGATATTTTTTTTCGTCACGCACGCTCGCAGTCTAGTCGGGCGTTTTGTTTGTCAACACGCGACTTTCTGGAGGCACGTCGAACGACGCCCGTGTGATCTCGCTCGCGCAGTCGAAAAAAAGTCACTCGAGCCGACGAGCTTCAAGCTCGACTTCTTTTAAGAAAGCAGGCTCCTGCAAATTCCCAGCGTACACATATCGCAGAACCGTAAGTAAAAGTTCCGATCTAACCGCCGCTATACATGAAAACATATTCAAACTTGTTGGGACGTAATCTGTGATTTTTGAGTTATATTTCGTATTATTTCCAACGACTAAAATTTATCATATTTAATTATTGTAGAGTGATGTTAAGATATTGCCTTATTAGGCGCCTGTGCTGGGATTCTGTAACTCGTTATTGGAACGACAACGATAACGACAATTTCGTTATCGTTGCGCAACTTTTCTACGGCATACAAAAGCTACACAACGACAACAAAACTCGTTAACTCCAATAACGAGTTACAGAATCCCACTGAAGCGATATATTGAGAAAAAGAAAGAAATCGTAAGTATGCGTTGCACAGCATGTCTGTCTCTGCGCGAATTTTTGGAAAACTCGTTGTGCCGTTTTCGCGACGCGCACACTTATGGAATATTTGTGTTCGCAGCGGGAATTTATTCACGGGAATCCTCCGCGGAGGGCTCGCGAGAATTCACGGGCGACTGTGAAACATGCGAAGGACGATGCTCGTGTTTATAGTCGCGATCGGAAGACACGAGTGCGAGCACAGCAACAGCAGCAGCATGAATGCGACGTGAATGAAAGGACAATGTGTGGCACTCGCGACGTGAATTTCAGCGGCTACCCCACAATCACACGCGAGCAGCTCCTTGCTCTCTCCCTTCAAACTGTAAGTAACCAAATCCAAGTTGTATCGCATGAGATAACGATATGTGTTGTTGCGCGCATTCGTTTTCGGCTCCACAGATACGGCTGATTTTGTTGGTTCCGAAACGACACGATAACCGACTCGACTCGACTGTGACGACAAAAACGTCGACGCCAAAGCTCGTTGCCAGCCCCCATTGTGTAATTCAGTATTAATTACTTCGATAATACGCTCCTCCAGTCGAGCCGCTTTTTCGTCGACAATGCGACTTCTTTCGACTTGTTTCGACCCATTCGAGAGAGAACCTCGACTCCGTCCGTCTCTCCGAGAGAGAAGGTACGTCGCGCTACAACTCGCTCGAGGAAGAATCCACGTCGCGGATTGGTCATTAAGGATCTGTCATTAAAGTAACAGAGTCTAATAAGGCGTCCCGATGAAGTAACAAAATCTAATTAACCTCAGTTAGTCGGAGCCGATCGGCATCGCGCGCTGCAAGCGGATAGGGCGGTTTCCCAACTGCTCGTCGTGTTACCCCGAGATAACCGCTCGGTGTGTGTCGTTGGCGCGGCCAAATAAATATCGCCGCTGAATATCGTCAGGCAACTCGCGGCCGTAACTGCATTCCCGCGTTTTTCTCGCGCCCCGCTTTTATCTAGCCGATAACGCGCGTTTATTACTTTTCAGCCGGTCGGCTGCCCGCGTTAATCGCGACTAATGGTTTTTCGTATTGTCGCTTGTTCGACCATTTAATGAATGAGATAAGGTGCAAATTAACAGGGACAACCGGTTGCACGTTCGCGTGTGCGTGCGCGCGTGAACACTGTGTGAAAGTCACGCATACTTGCAGCACGTACGAGGGCTTTCGACATGTGCAAACAAACTTGCGACATGCGTAGCGTCCTATAAAAGATACACAGGAGTATTATCTTCCTCTCTTCGCGGAAGACAGATCATACAGGAGGATTATCTCCGATCACATTATTATCGAAAAGACGTTCTTGCTTGTACGCGATATCGATCGCGAATGAATCTGACTTGAAATCTAGCAGCAGCGTGCCGTTAGTGCAGCAAACATATCATTACTGGTCGACTAGTGCGGAAAACATTAAGCAGAACACACTCATATATAAGAGCATGTACACGTAGGTTTAACCTTTAAACGACAAGATGACAAGTCAACGACTATTCCATTCGGTTTCGATGCGATTTATTGAAACTTTGTGATATTTACGCCAAAATCAGGTACTTTATATTGACAAAAAGAATTATATTGAAAAAAACCAAAACAATTAAAAAAACATAAAAATATGTTTTCCTCTTAAAATGTTGTTTATTTATCCCTATGCAATTTCCAACACGCAGAAAGAAAAATAGAAATTCAAAAAATGTCGGAGTCATAAATCTACCTTGTTTATGTCCCATAATTTTATCTTGTCGTTTAAGGGTCAATAATTAAAAGATTGTGGCAAACAAAAATCTCGAATTGTTGCGTAAGCGTAGAGTAATAGTGATAACTTTTCGATCATAATGGTGACCATAATCATTGTAACTGTATAATAATAATTATATTATTATTATACGGTAATATTATTGTTTGCGTAATGAGCCGCAATAATCCAGCAAAATCGTAACAATTAATAATCATCGCAATTATATTCGCGTTCTCGTAATTTCCTGTCATCAGGTATGTTCGCTTCTCAACGAAACACGTTCGAACAGGTCTGAGATTGCGTCAAATAACAAGCGATTCGGGGTTTTTCCTAGAAGCAGCGTTCCAGGGTTCTTCTTAGAAGCAGCGTTTCGGGGCTCTTCCTAGAAGCAGCCCGGCTTTCTTTCCGGGAATCGGAGTATTTCCGTAAGTCTCGGCTGATTTTTAATCCATTGGAAAGATGAAATCAGGTGGATTCTTTCTTCTCTTTTCTTTATGTGTGTGATTGTATTTTTATAATTTCTCAAAGAGATTTAATAACAACTAACAGAAAAAGATCCTTAAGATATTACAAAGATTGGAAGAGAATAAAATGGAATGCGTGGGATCTCAGATTCTACCTTTCCAACGGAAAGGCGATGGATTAAGGCTTCTGGGTACTCGCATCGTCCACCTTTTTTCAATGACATCAGAAGTGAAAAAACGCATGCAAAAATTCTTGCGAAATCAGTCGAAATAAGCAGATGTATCCGTAAAGTGCGACACTTGTAGTCGATCGAGCAAATCTATAAAATAGCCCGAACGCTTCCCTTTTATTCTAACAATCAATAATTTACCGTAAATAAATATAATAGGTTCATGCGGAAGAGATAGGCTAAAAGGATAGATTGTATGTCACAATAATCCACGGGAAATTATTGATTATTACAACAAAAAAGCAGGTGTTCGGACTATTTTACAGATTTACTCGATCGATCGCAAGCGTCGCTCTACGGATGTATCTTTTTATTTCAGTATAGGGGAGCTGGATTGGTCACCGGAATAAATTGGCAAAATCGATTATTTCTACTGTTCTTTGACAGAATTCAGAATCAGGCAAGAGAGAGAGAGAGTACGAATTTCAAACTCACCTTTGACATATTTAGAAATCTTGCTTGCTTAATTTAATAACTTGTTAGAAAATACTTAAAAGTAATTTAATAACTTGTTAAAAAACAACCGGTTTTGCTAACGTAGCCCCGGTCTCCCCTATTTTGCAAGAATTTTTAGCATGCGTTTCCTCGCTTCTGACGTCATTAAAAAAATATGAACGATGCGAGTATCTAGGAGCCTCCCCAGCCAACACAAATCTTCAAAGAACGTCCTCTCTCTCCCTCCCTCTCTCTCTCTCTCTCTCTCTCTCTCTCTCTCTCTCTCTCTCTCTCTCTCTCTCT